GGTCAGTGACAACTGTGGCTAGCAGACGCGTGACAGTAGAGTGAGCAGCACGGGTGCGGTCAGACTCAGGCTCAGGAACGGTAGGCAGAGAAGACGCAGGAGGGGACGGCAGGGGAACACGCTGCGGAGGAGAGGAAGGACGACGGACTACGAGGTGGGTGCCGGTGACAGCCGGCTGACGCGAACGAGGAACACGACGACCAGGACGACCAGAACGGACAGGCGAGACATGACGCGACGCAGGCTCACGACGCTCAGTAAGATCCCCTGTCTGCTCAGTGTAAGGAGAAGGAGCAGGCAGCGGTGAGCCAGGCTGTAACGGAAGACCAGTAGACGAAGGGAGACTAAGAACCTAGCGAGGTATAGGGTCAGACGGTGGCTGAGACAACAGAGACGGTGGAGCGAAGAACAGGTGCGGCTGTGCAGCGCCACCAGCACCAGTTGCTCCAGCACCCCCAGCAGCTCCAGTACCTCCAGCAGCTCCAGAACCCTCAGCGCCAGCTCGTCCATGACCAGCTCCACCAGCACCAGCACCCCCAGAACCGGCACCTCCAGTCCCAGGGTCTCGAGTCTCAGTGTCTCCAGTAGCAGCACCCCCAAACCCAGGGTCTCCAGCAGGAGCACCCTCAGGCTCAGCACCTCTAGCCCCAGCAGCTCCAGTACCTCCAGTACGAGCACCTCCGGGACCAGCACCACTCCCAGCTCCAGTGACGCCAGCACAAGTACCTCCAGCGGTAGAGCCCCGAGCTCCAGAAGCGCGACCCTGACGGCGACCGTACCAGTCGTGCAGCTGCTGTGAGGTGAGAGGCACACGCGGACGAAGGCGGCGACTCCAAGGAGACCGCACAACAGCAGACTCAGAACCCTCAGCGCCAGCACCTGCAGCAGCTCCAGAACCTCCAGCGCCAGCACCCGCAGCAGCTCCAGAACCTCCAGCGCCAGCACCCTCAGCAGCTCCAGAACCTCCAGCTCCAGAACCTCCAGCAGAAACAACTCCAGTAGCAGAGACACCAGCACCAGCGCCTCCCGCAGCAGGGCCCCTAGCTCCAGCAGCGCGACCCTGACGGCCAACGTACCACTCACGCAGCTGCTGTGGGGAGAGAGGGAGTCGACGACGAGAGTGCAGCGGCGAGGTACCAGCAGAGCGACTACGGAGACGGCCGTCCCAGGGAGACTGCTCATCAAACGCCTCAGTGCCCCCAGGTGCCGCACCCCCAGACTCAGTACCCCCAGGCTCAGCACCCCCAGACTCCTCACGTCCAGGCTCAGCACCTCCAGTCTCCGCACCCCCAAGCTCCGCACCTCCAGGCTCCGCACACCCAGGCTCAGCACCCCCAGGCTCCGCACCCCCAGGCTCAGCACCCCCAAAAACAGTACCCCGAGCAGGACCACCCTCAGCAGGACCTGAGTCACCAGTGACCTCAACCAGCGCAGACAAGGGAGGAGGGTCTACCTGAGACACACCTGAAGGAGCAGGACCGGGAGCGGGGAGTGGGTCTACCTGGGGAGCACCTGGAGCGAGGAAGAGCGGCGGGGGGGGGGGGGGAGAGGGGCAGTGCGGTAGGGGAAGAGACGGTAAAAGGGAACCGACTCGTCGAACGTGACGTCCTGGGAGGGGAAGACACAGCTGGAGGTGGGGTGGTAAAACTGCCAACCAGGCGCGTCAGGGACAAAGCCAAGGAAGACACAGGGAACAGCGCGGGCGGAGAGCTTGTCCGCGGTGGTATCCGGACAAAGGCACGAGCACCCCAGACCCGGAAACGCGACGCATCGCCAACCTTCCCCGTCCACAGCAGTGTGGGCGAGGTCTCCGGCAAGGACACACGGGGCCAGAGGTTGAGCTGATGCGCGGCGTACCGGACCGCAAACGGCCACAGAAAATGGGGGGCAGCCGCATGGATCATGGAGGTACGAGCGACCTCCATGACTAAGCCAATGCGGCGCTCAGCAACCCCATTCTGCTGCGGAGAGGCCGAAAGCGTGAACGTCTGGTGGATGCCGTGCTCCACACAGAAGGCTGCCAAGAGGTCAGAGGAAAACTCCCACCTCTGTCAGAGTGCAGACGCAGGACGGGAAACTCCGTCCCGAACCGCTCGCAGAGCTGGAGACGAGTAGCGCGGATCCAAGGGATCAAAACATCAGGGACCTCACCCTTGGTGCGCAAGGGGAAGACCGTGGTGTAGCGCGTGTAGTCGTCGACGACCAGCAGGAAGTACCGCTCGTGGCCCTGTCCACGGACGCGGGCTGGGCCCCACAAGTCCAGGTGGAGAGTCTGCAGGGGAGCCTCTGTGGGAGGGAACGAGGAGGAGTGAGGAGCGGCGCGCTGCCGCCCCTCGACACAGGGAAGACAGGGAGGAGCAGGCGAGGGTGGGAGGGGAGCGAGAACCCTGGGAAGACCAGAGACAAGGACACGGCGGTGCATGCTGCGAAGGCGCTGCACCGAGGGGTGACTAAGGCGGTGGTGCCAAAGGAGGGTCTGGTGCGACAAGGCGCGACACGAGCAGGGGGCCGACAACTGACCTGGCGCAGACGCAGACGCAGCTACCTGAGGGGACGCAGTGGTCAGTGTGTACAGGCCCGACCCCGGCTGCCGAGTGAAGGTAGCCAGGTGACGACCTGTCTGAGCACACGTGCAGTGTGTCACACGCTCGTAGGCAGGGGTGAACTGGTGAACACCCGCGTCCTGGAGCGCAGAACCCGCCACCAAGTTCGTAGAGAACGAGGGGAGGTAAAGACCCGACAGTGTGCCGGACGAGACAGCAGGACAAGGGAGGATAGTGGAGGAGGTCGCACGGACTGGACCCCCAGAGGGGTCTGCCAGGGAGACTGGAACCGGCCGGTTGAGTGGCGTGAGGGTGGTGCTGTCGCGAAAGAAGGAGCGAGAAGCACCAAAGTCAAGTGTGAAGGTGTACAAGGCCTCAGCAGGCGCAGTACTAGAGAGAGCAGACTCACCAGCACCTGAAGCAGCAGCCTCATCAGCACCTAGAGCAGGAGACGCACGAGCACCTAGGGCAGCAGCCTCACCAGCACCGAGAGCAGCAGGCTCTATACCTGGGTCAGGCGGTACGCACAGGTAACAGGCACGGTCAGCACTATTAGGCAATGCATACATGGCACTGAGAATAGCATCATAGTCAAGAGAAAATATATCTACCCTCTGCCCAAGCAGCTCCACCCAGTTGGGGAGCTCAGCCTCGTCGCCAAACTCGGTACGCCAGGCGTTGCTCAGACGGGCGAAGCAGCGGGACTGTGTGTGACTAAGCGTCCCACAAGCCTGACCCGTTCGATCACCTGTGCGAATGACGTACGGGCAGCGAACGGTACTCAAAGACCCTCTACTCTGAGCGTACCACTCACGAAGCTGCTGGGACGTAAGTGTCTCGCGCGGACGCCGCTGCAGCTGCAGCTGGCCACCGCCAGACGCTCCCGACTGACCAGCTCCAGGGCGACAGCCACGACGGCTACCACCACAACCCCAACTAGCGTACCACTCACGAAGCTGCTGGGGCGTGAGAGACTCGCGCGGACGTCGCTGGAGCTGCATCTGGCCACCGCCAGTAGCAGCAGTAGCAGTGGTAGTGGCAGTAGTAGCAGCAGCAGCAGCGCGGGCAGGGCAGGCACGGCAGGCAGGTAGGCAGGCAGGCAGGCAGGCAGACAGGCAGGCAGGCAGGCAGGCAGACTGGCTGGCAGGCAGGCAGGCAGGCTGGCAGGCAGGCAGTGCACTAACAAGGCAGGTGCTCACCAGTGGCGGGAAGAGCAGGCGCTCGCCGTGCGAGCAAGGCCGGCGCTCAGCGGGCGGCTGCACGGGGTCCAGGGGCGGCGTCGCGGGTCCAGAGGCGGCGTCGCGGGGTCCAGGGTCGGCTCCACTGAGTCCAGGGGCGGCTGCTTCAGGGGCCAGGGGCGGCTGCTCTGGGTCCAGGGGCGGTTGCTCGAGGGTCCAGGGGCGGCTGCACCAGGGGCGGCAGCTAGAGGGGCCAGGGGCGGCTGCTCAGGGTCCAGGGTCAGATGCTCGAGGGTCCAGGGGCGGCTGCACCAGGGGCGGCTGCTGTAGGAGCCACGGGCGGCTGCTCTGGGTCCAGGGGCGGCTGCTCAAGTGTCCAGGGGCAGCCGCGGCGCGCGGGCCTGAAGCGCGCAACGCGAGCTGCGGGCGCGGCGCGCGAAGCCGCCGGAGGCTGCGCGAGGACGGTAACCGCGGCGCGCGGGGCTGCAGCTCGACGTGCGGGCAGCGGACGCGACGCGCGGGGCTGCAGCGCGACGCGCTAGGCTGCAGCGCGACGTGCGGGTAGCTGATGCGACGCGCGGGGCTGCAGCGCGACGCGCGAGGCTGCAGCGCGACGCGCGGGGCTGCAGTGCGACGCGCGGGGCTGCAGCACGCAGCGCGGGCTGCGGACGTGGCGCGCGGAGCACCAACGAGCGCGCGCGAGCCGCGCCAGGTGGGGCCGCGTCAATGGCAGGTCGTGGCCGCGAGGAGGGGCGGCGCTCTAGCCTGACGGGCCTGCAGGGGTGGCTCGCGGGCCTGACGGGCCTGCAGGGGCGACGTGCGGGCCGTACGAGTTTGCAGGGGCGGCGCGCGGGCCTTACGGGCCTGTAGGGGCTGCGCGCTGGCCTAGGGCAGCAGTAGGGAGCGCGAGGGCTGCAGGACGGCGCGCGCAGCGCAGCACGTCACAAGGCAAGGCAGGCAACACGTGGGGTAGCGTGGTAACCGCAACGGTAGGTGGGCCCGGAAAAAAAGACGGTCCTACGAACGTAATGCTCTGAAACCATGTTAGAAACTAGCAGCAGGAATGAATGAACTATGAAAGAGTTGGGTACAAGTATGAAACCCTAAAAGGGGCTGTACCCCATATTGGCTACCCCACTACAGCCTAAACATATATAGCATATATATACTTTGACAGCAACCGCGCCCGCTGGTCCGCTGCACCCCTGGGGGGGGGAGGGGGGGCAGGTTGGAGAAGAGAGGGGGAGGGGAGGGCCGCACGATGGATGGACACGTGCATCTAGTTGCTTGCGCTGCCTGAAGAGAGACACGGATTGGTGGTGCCTGCCCTCGGGATAGAGGCAGGCACGCACATGCACCGATAGAGGCACACACCGATAGAGGCACGCACCGATAGAGGCACGCACCGATAGAGGCACGCACCGATAGAGGCACGCACCAATAGAGGCACACACCGATAGAGGCACAGCACACACCGATAGAGGCACATAATCCCTTCCATCTTCCAGCAGCGCTGCTCTCTCCTCCTCCGCTCGCCCCACCCGTTGGGCCCCCGCTTGCCCCGCACCTTGCCCCCCTCCTTGCCCGCCCGCCACGACGGCGCGCTTCTTGGCGGCGAGCAGCGCGAGCTTGTGTGCGCGCAGGCGCGCTAGCAGATGCGCGCGGCCGGCAGGGGGGAGCGAGCGCGCCTCGAGATCCATCTGGCGAATCTGGGGGAGGGGAGCGCGAGGCGAGGGGGAGGAAGAAGAAATATGTGTGGCGGGGAGGGATACGTGCGGCGGGGAGGGATACGTGCGGCGGGGAGGGATACGTGCGGCGGGGAGGGATACGTGCGGCGGGGAGGAGAGCAACGCGGCGGGGACTGCACGAGGTGGCGGAGGGAAGAGAGAGTGGGAGGACCCGAAAAGGGTGCAGGAGAATCGGAGAGGGTGCAGGTGAGCGGAGAGGGTGCAGGGGAGCGGAGAGGGTGCAGGGGAGCGGAGAGGGTGCAGGGGAGCGGAGGCGACGTACGAGTGACTCCGCGTCGTCGATGCGCCGCTGTGACTCGTGCAGCCGCCCGCTGGACGCATCTGCACGGCCACGACGAGACGAGTGGGACGCGATGAATGAGACGTGCGACATGAGAGACCTATGAGGATCTACGTGCGAAACTCAGGGTGAAGGAAACCATGTAGGGCGGAGGGGAACCATGCAGGGTGGAGGGGAACCATGCAGGGCGGAGGCGAACCGAGGAGCGCAAATAGGATACGAGGCGTCACGCCCTATGCTGTCGTATGATTGGCGTACCGTCCGATGGCGCTGAACTGCCGCTCGTACGCCTCGAAGGTCGCCATGCGCGCCACACCGCTGCTCGCACCCGCCGCGAGGGAGACGATGCGAGCGAGACGATGCGACGGTTGCGCTTCTGGACTGCGCGACGACGTGTACGGCGAACCGGGGTTTGCGGAAAGCCAAGAATTCAAACTGGACTGTTGGAAAGAATTGGTTGAGCTCGTTTCGGCCTACTTCGCGCCTTCTAAAACGAGCTAGGCAGGGAAGTCATAGCAGAGTGGTTGAGTGACGGGTTTGAAGTGCTCTATGGAGTTCTCTGGAATTTACATGGCGTTGTTCTGCAGCCCCACAGAACGGAACGGAAAGTAGGAAACTGCCTAGCTTTTTAATTTTAGGTTTGGTGAGACGATCAGCCCCAAACTTGGTGTCGAGCCGGCCACTTACCGTCCGAACCAACTGGGAGGGAAGTGCTGCAGAACGCTGCATTTCCGTCACCGAAATTGAAGGCAGGAAGTTGCGTACCCACCTTCCGTCACAGGCAACCCCAAATGCTCCCACCTACCCAGTCGCATACCACCCTTTGGGGGGAACCACTTCTGTCATGGAATAGAAGTAGAGAGCTAGGGAACACCATTACCTTACCTGATACAATCTGAACCGTCTTATAGGATCGTCTCAGGTTGATCGCACGGAGTGTAGTAGCGGAAGATTGCTAGTTAATGTCGGGTACGGACTCTGTCAGTAGAAGGAGATTTGAATCTCCGCAGAAGTGACTATTACAATGCGGTACAGGGGTTTATATAGGAATACAGTGGAATACGAAAGGTCCTAGCTAGCGCTCTGAGGGGGTGCATTTCACTTATGGGGTTGCAGCATCGCAACCGTGCGGTTCGTTAACCGTACGCGGTCCGGTAACCGTTTGAACATTTCCCGCGCTTTGCACTTCAAATTCTTCCTGCTTATAACTGTCTCGATAACTGTCTCGTCGATTGGTCTTTCGTCCTCGCTGCAGTCATCTTCGCGTTAAGGATTTGTTACCCAGGAATGTTTATTCAACTATTCCATATCGTAACACTCCCCTTCATTCCTGGAGGAGCGAAGTCTTGGTGCGCTTGGTTATGCCGCAGATGTTTTTGCAGTGGTGATACTGCTGACGTGGGAGCTTCTTGGTGAGGAAGTCAGCTGCCATGTCACCAGTGGGGCAATAAGTGAAGATGACTTTGCCTTTGTCAACTTCGTCTTTGACGAAGAAATAGCGGAGCGCGATGTGTTTGGTGCGGTTGACGAAGCCAGGCTTGTTCGCGATATTTATCGCGCTTTGGTTGTCGCAGTGAAGTTTGAAGCTTGCGGATGTCTCAATTTTCGCCTCTTAGAGTAGCTCCTGAAGGTAGAGGCCTTCGCGAACGGCTGACGTGGCGGCGATAAATTCGGCTTCAGTGGAGGAGAGCGCCACCATCTCTTGCTTTGGGGAATTCCAGGAGATTGGTCCGGTAGGCTCGAGACGGAAGAGAAAGCCGGTTCGGGACTGTCGATTTACAGGGTCGGCGGCATGATCTGCGTCCACGTAGCCGACGAGGCTGAAGGTGCGAGTCGTGAGGGTTGAGTAGGTGAGGCCAATGTGCGGTGTAGAGATGAAATATTTCAGAGCCCGTTGTAAATCCAGCATGTGCTCCCCTTCAGGCCGCTTGGCATACTGAGCGAGTTGACTTGAGATGTAGGACAAGTCAGGCCTGCATGTGACCGCCGCGAAGAGGAGACAGCCGAGCTACTGCTGGTACAATTGGTGACAGGAGGGGTTGAGATGTGTGGTGTTGGGAAGATGCGGGGTGGCCGGGTTGCGGTAAGGAGTGGAGAGGTTGGCTGGTTTGATGTTGAACTTGGTTGCGAGTGTCTCGGCATACTTGGAGGCGGAGAGGTGAATGGCGTCGGCAGAGTAAGAGATATTGAGGCCTAGGAACTGGGTGACTTGATCGGTGCTGGTGATTTCGACGCGGTTGCTAAGGTTTTTCTCAAACTGAGTGAGAAGGTCATTGCTGGTGCCGGTGTAGAGAAGGTCGTCGACGTATGCCGTGAGGAGGATGTAATCTCCGCGGCAATGGAGGCGGTAAATGCTGGGGTCGTGGGGCAGCTGGATGAAGCCGATGTCGAGCAGGATTTGGTGGAGGTATTGCTGCCAGAGGCGTGGCGCCTGCTTGATGCCGTAGAGAGATTTGCGTAGCTGACACACGCGATCGTCGCCATCGCCGTAGGTATGAGGCTGTTCGACGAAGATGAGGGCGTCCACGGGCGCGTAGAGGAAGGCGTTTTTGACGTCGATTTGGTGGAGGGGACGTGGTGAACCATATGGTCCTCTTGCTTTTGCTGCTGCTTCTTGTTCGGCGCGAGCGATGACAGCTTCGATGGGCTCTTCTTCCTCCATAGTTGATGGTGCGGGGCTCCCCCATCCAGTTGCGCCAGTTCCGCTTCCACATCCTCCAGCTTTTGCGATCCGCTTTGCGAAGAGTCACCCTACAACTGGAGTGGACTACGAAGGAGAGCACGGAGTTGTGTGGGTGATCGTAGCGCTCTAGTAGCGTTCTATCAGAGTTCTTACTACTTGCTGTGTTTGCTGAGGAATTTGGCAAGAGTTTCCACTAAGGAAATTGAAAGAACATTGAAAATCGAGAATTAGAGTACAAAGAAGAGCATGCACATGATATCACTAGAATGGCATTGCAATCCCTAGTAAGAAAACTGCAAGGCGAATTGCCAACACTGCATCAAAGCGATTCGCCAACGCTGAAACAGGGCGGCCTGCCAGCGTAGCAGAAGGGCGACATGCCAGCGCTGCAACAGGGCGGCCTGCTAGCACTGCATTCGCAGGTGAATATCTGCGCAGGTGTGCACCTGCCGAGTAGGTGCAGGTAGACAGTTACACCGTCAGAGACATTGTGCAGGTACTAGGTAGAAAACGCTCCGACGGTTTCATCAGATGTTCACCGTCGAACTCGTGATGCCATTCCGCAGGTGAAATTTCGCTAAGAATAACCTGAGCGAATTTCGCATGCCGTCGCAGAGTTCCGCAGTCGCGCGAATTCGGCCGACCAGTTCGCCGAGACGAGGCTCGCCGAAAGACGCCCTTCGATCAGAGAACGGAATTCTTCGGACTGCACCCCATCCGTCAGAGATCGCGCGACTCACGAGCAGATCAGAGGACGAGCTCGTCGAACAGCACCCCGTCGACCAGAGCTCGTTGATGGGCTGGTGAATCAGAGGACCACCTCCTCGAAAACCCACCACGGTTTCATGGGACGGGCTGATTCAATGTGACGATCACTTTGTAGAATTCACCACGTCGTCGCAGAGAATGCCTGTGCCCAAGCGAGGGCGGGGCCTTTCACTTCGACACTCCCCTGCCCAGCTCAAGCTTGGGCACCCACACACAAGGTCCACCCAGAACTTAAGTAGTAGAATACAAGGGGATATTCCACTGGCGTGCACACCTCCGCACGCCGATCACCGCACCAGCCATATCAGAGGACATGACACCTACTGCTGCACGTCGTTGTCGTCGCCGACTTCGGCAAGGCGAACCTGGCCGACCGCGACAGAGCACCGGTTGAAGGCCGGAATGTGCAGCCCTTTCGTAAGGAAGTCCGCCGGCTGCTCGGATGTCGAGATGTACTCCAGCGCAATCTTCTTGCGCTTCACCATCTGCTGCAGCCAGGCGTAGCGTCGCTCCATGTGCTTGAGGTTGCCCTTCAGCCCCAAGCCCCCAGCGACAGCGATGGCGAACTGATTGTCCACGTTCAGAACAGTTGGCGTCCCAGCATGAAGGAGCTGGAACTCGGCGAGGAGGAACCGAAGTAGACGAGCCTCCTTGCCTGCTTCCGTGGCCGCGATGTACTCCGACTCTGTAGAGGAGAGAGTCACGCACTTGATGCGTTGGCTCGTCCAGGAGACAGGTGCGCCGCCGAAGGTGAGAACGTAGCCACTTGTGCTAGTGCGATTCTGCTTGTCGTCGGCGTCGTCCGCGTCCACGTAGCCGACCAGTTTCAGAGTTTCGGGTCCTCCTCCAAACTCCAGAGCAAAATCGCGCGTGTCGGCAAGATAGGTGAGGCAGCTATCGACCTCACGCCAGTGCTGATCGCTCCTCACCGTCAGACCAGACCCCAGCTTGCTACACGCGAAAGCATTGTCGGGCCGAGTTGTTGTGGCAGCGAACTGCAGCGAACCGACCTTCTGACGGTACTCCTCCTCTTCGCGCGACAGGAAGTCCTCATCGTCGAAAGTCAGCTCCGCGTAAGCGTCAACGGAAGCAGGCGTCTTCGGACGCCGACCAGTCTGCTCCTCGTCGATGAAGCGCCTACGCAACTTGTCAACGTAGGACTGCTGGTGCAGCCACAGCTTCCGCGCCGGACGGTCGCGCACGATTTCGAGCCCCAAATACTTCTCGACCGGGGTGATCTCGCGCAGCTCAAAAGCGGCCTCCAGCAGCTCCTTCAGCTCCTTCAGCATCGCGGTGCTGCTGCTAGCGGCGAGCAGGTCGTCGACATAGACGAGCACCCAGCACGCCACTCCGTCATCGCCAACCCTAAAATAGAGAGCCTCGTCCACCTGGCTCTTGCTCCAGCCAGCGCCCGTCAGCACAGCGTTGAGTGCGGAGTACCACAACAGAGGGCTTTGCTTCAGCCCATACAAGCTCTTCAGCAGCTTGCATACGCGTCCGGTTCTGTCATTGTAGTAAGCCGGCTGGTCCATGTAGAGCACGCGGTCAAGCTTGCTCTGCAGAAAACTTCATGTCCAGCTGCATGAGGTG